TTTGTACACATTCATTTGTGGTTGAGAGCAGCAATTGATGTCATTGCAGTGGCTACGACCGAGAGTCCCGACGGTGGCAGGATTTTCGACAGTAGCTAGACAGCTTGGTAAGAGTTCAGAAGCGGTCTGGGAGAATATTATAGCTGCCGGCTGCTATGGTCGGTAGCTTTCCGTGGTTTCTGTGATCAACGCCAGGCGAATGCCGGAGCAGTACCCTCACTAGTGGGCCGACGAGTAGGTTTTGCCGGGTATCGCCATCCAGCGTCGGAATATCACTGCCACCTCCAGCGATAAAAACATGCACTACACTTACGTTTAATGACCTTAGCAGTTGACGCGCCCGGAATCACCAAACAATCAATTAGAATGATGATCATTATCTCGGCAAAAAATTCGTGACATTCTTGAATTACGAATTTCTAGAGTGCTAGCTGTAATCAATACATGATCGTTTCTGAAGTATAGATTTTAAAACCGAAATCTCCTTTTAACCGTTTAGCAAAGAAACTAATACGATTCGTTTTATATATCCCACCAAATAAGTTTTAATTTGACAATCCTTTCATTATTATGCATCTTTCTTTTTCATTATTTTTGCATCAAATAAAATTAAGAGATAAAATTTTGTTTAATTTCTCGGGCGCGTCAATTGCTAAAGTCATTAGTCCTGTAAGTGAAGTACTGCTTTTATCACAAGAGATGTAGTACTGCGAAGTCGTTACAAATAATAAAGAATCTGCCGTTGTAGCACCACTAGTTTACTTCACATTATACTACGTACTTATGTACAAAGAGAAAGTTTTGTAATACTGCGGCAAGAAACGGTGATTTTTCGACTCTTTTTGTGGGTCCCTGATATAAAAAAAAATATACTATTTTGTTCCTTAATAGAGTAAATTGCTTCTTCTGGCATGTGGAATAATCACAATCCATGTTAGTGGGAAAGTTATGTAATGCTCCGCGAAAAAACGGGGCTGAAATACTCTTATTACAGGGCCCTGGCAACGAAAAAGTGGATAAATACAGTTGCATACAATTGCAATTAATTTAGAGTAAAAGTATTACTTGTTTAATTTGCCGAAGAGATCCCATTTTCTAAGTTATTGAGAAAAGTTATCACGGAATTACTTTCCGAAGGTAATAGAAACTAATTGATCAAGTGAATGTATTATATTTTCTTTGCTTTCCATTTAAGGATTGAATAAATCCTAATATTACCAGAATTGTTCTATTACTACTTCAAATGCGATCTCCACCCAAAGCTACTCCCTACCAAAACCACCGCGTCTTCAGGTTCTTCAAATAAAAATATTTATAATTATTGTGGGGAAGAACCCTCCCACTTTAAATAATCAAGTAAAATCTTTGAACAGTTGAGTCGTTTTTGTGTAGTAATGCGCGAAATATGGGTAATTTTTAAACAGCTTTTTTTTAACAGTTCCAATTTTTTTTCACAGTATTTTTTTTCTATACAGCAAAGTAAACCTGTGAAAATGGTGAAGATTCCATTTTCAATAAACTCTCTATATTTTTCGAAAACTGTAGCAAATTAACATAACAAAAGTACAATATTGATGATAGTTATTTTTCCTTAATGAATTTTGTTCCAAATATTGAGGTTTTATTTTCAATCATAATAGTAGTTTGGGTTTTGGTAATTTTTGCTTAAAATGAAGAGAATTTGTAAATATAACTCTCAAAACAAGTACAATTTTCCTTTTTTTTTAATTGCCTTCTGAAAGATCAAAGACGCTTAAGCCGATCCGGTGGCCGGTATCGATAAGGTACCACAACGTAAGGAGTACCACAGCGATCTCGGACCGAATAGATCGCAGGTTCGAGTCCCACCTCGGTCATTGTTGTATTTGTGTTCATCCTTGCACCCCATATCATCACCATATCATGTCATCTTCACAGTTACCATAACGTTAAATCCAATAGTGGTCGCTTAATGACTTAGGTGTTGATGCAGCCTTAAGTAACAAAAAAAGACACTTACGAAGGCGCATGACTCATTTTCTTTGGAGTCTTTGAAGTTTCCAAAATTGCAAATGTTTAAATAATGCAAAAGTGCGTGTTCTGTTTTGGCACCACTAGTTCTTACTTATGTAAGACAAGAATGTAAAATATTTCTTGGAACGTTGCTATACAACCATGATTCATCCGCGTGACTTTAAGGACTGCAAACGTCCCTTTTTCCAATGAACAATGAAATAGCTGGTTAATAGTTTATTTTACAGTTATATGTTTTACAAAGTACTTGAAGGGGAAACACCACTTGACCGTACTCTAAAAAGTGGAATTTAATGATGTTAAAAATGGATACTAGCCACTTGTATAAAGTCAATTTTACAATCGAAATCAGTTATTTTAAACCTATTTTTTTAAATTGATCCTGTGCTGCAAGGACCTGAAGTTAGAAGAAGACAAACTTCTGTTTCACACATAGCAGTTCGCACAAGCAGGACTCGAAATTTAAAAGATGTCTTAAAACAGCGAGCCAAATTAGCAACTAGTATAACCACACCCACGTTTAAGTTCGTCGATGAGGCCATCGTTGTTGCTGGCGGTTGGTCGGCCCCCAGGGAACATGGCGACCAGCACCCTCGCCGCCTCCGCCGGCTCTGCCTCCGCCCCACCACCGCCACCGCCGCCTCCACCGCCCCCTCAATCGCTTCTGCCGTCGCCTTGCGACGCGCAACACAAGCAGTTTACTTAGTAAGGAGGAGTCATCACCAACATAATGACGATGTTTTAAAACGTCCATGATTAAAATTAAAATATCGATGTTAATGCAATTTGTGGCTTCGGTGGTTTATCAGTTAGCTTATCTGTTTTGCCCAAGTTTGCGGGTTCAAATCTAATCGAAGCAGTAGGTTATTTTAAGGGCGAAAAAATCCTACATACGCCTTCCTTTGGAAGGGAAGTAAACCTGGCTGTCCCATGTTGCAGATTTATATATAACACGCAGTTGCTCTACAGCTGTCTCCGTTCTGTCCCCATGTATCTCTGTGTGTCCATAGATCTTCAGTTGTAGGTTTATTGCATGTAAAATATACTCAACTGAAAAGCAATCTCTAAGATAAATATAATTCGCCTGTTTCGTCGCCTGAGTGATATCTCCTTTCTCCTCTAAATGGTGAAAGGAGCGTAGCGTAATTTGCGAGGACAGTCGAAAGAGAGGGCCTGATAAGGCAAATTAATTTGAAATGGAAAAATATCGTCCCCAAAACATCGATGTTATTAAATAATGATGTGTCTAATACTGGATTAGTAATCGTTGAAGTTCATGCTGGTGGGATTTAATTTTAAAATTGTCCCATCTTCATTTTTAATTATCCCGGACAAGCAAGAGCGCTAACTACAGAAGTTTGTTATAATGGGCTTTTTCGTTTAAAAACATCGACCATGATAAAAAATCATCTTCAAAAATCAATGTTAAATACGTCGATGATTTTATAAAAGCCATTGATGTAGTGTAAACATCGTCTTCGATGTCGCATTCTCACTTCCTAGCCTCCTGACATCAACAACACCACTGGAACGCAATTCCCTTATCCCTGATGTTTCAAATAAAGAGACGGGTACAGGGCTTGCGTTCTGGTACCTCGAGAATAATTATTCAATTATATTATAAATACACAACTATTTCTATTAAATTAATCATTAATTTTAGGCTCGTTTCGGGACCTAAAATTTTATAAACGAAGCAGACTTGTAATATCTCAAACTAACGAAGTGACTAATTACGGAAGAACTATTTTAGTAACTAATTATATTTGAATATTTACATTTTATTTCTGCCATGACGACTCACCTTTGTTACTTACTGCTGTGAGAAACGTTTGGTGGATAAATCTTGAAAAGAGGGCGTGTCCCTTGATGCGGCATTGATGTTAAACTTCCACTGGAGGCTCGATAGACGAAAATTGCCTTTGGAATCATCGTATGAGGTTCCAAGATATACTAAAGAAATGAAAACTATTTTTCCCCCAATGGCTTAACAATATCCCTTAAAGGACTACGAGTTAACGACAAAATATCATGTAATGTCATTTTCATTTGTAATAATGACCTTACAATAATTATTATTATTATTATTATTATTATTATTATTATTATTATTATTTTAAAATAGCACATTCCAAATCATTCTTAGGACAATTTATATAAAGAATGCACATAAAATGTTTTTATTTGTATAAATTTAATAACAAGTAAATTTAAAAATATATGTACATTCACAAGACTGCCAAATACATACTTCAATGCCAAGTTCAAAATAGCGACTATAAACACAAGTACAGAAAGGCTCAAAAATGACACTGCACATATTTGATTGGTGTACGCAAAATGTGTAGCTTGTTGTATTTATTGTATGCTGTCGGTATTTCTTGCGCATAGTCTTATGAATGGAATTCTCTTTCACATACCGAAAATAGTACTCAACCTTTGTGTAAACTCGACGTGAACTGCCTGCTGTTTGGTCGATGAAGGTAACAAACATGTTCGCACGGAAATTGAACCGTGGCTAACTTTACGTAAATTTGTTAGTGGAGGATGAGGTTAAGAGAGACGAGGAAGAAGTGAGATAGCAGGTTCTCCCTGTGCTAGGCGCGTCCGAGATCTGTGTTGTTAAAAAGCTCGGATGACGATACTGACGCTGGATTTCGTTCATCGCCATTTTGTTTACCATCACGTTTTAAAACTATTTACAAAACGTTTCGACCATCCAAAGAAAAAATGGATCAACATTTCCGCTCCTCCACAGCCTCCACTCCAAAAGGTTTACTAGGCCGGAAGTTTGGTTTCGACGTTTAACTGGAAGTCCCAAATGAGTACTGTATTTTCAGATTTCTATGAATGAAAATGTGATGGGTATGTAGCAGAAAATTAAAACAATTTACGAAATAACAGTTCTGATAGTATCTAGAAAATAGACACGTTACAGAAACAGCGATTAAAGTGGTGCCTCATTGATTCTGTCACCTCAGAGTTCATTAAAACCTCAAACATGCACCCATATTTTCGTTCATCTGCCGATGAACAAAAATATTTTTACACAATTGCCTATAATAAAGAAATTGTAAACAATATTTCGATGACTTCTGGGACTAGAGATCCGACACCATCACTATACTTATCAGTTTTAATACTTTGAAGTACCGCAATAAGACGTCAAAACCTTGTAAACGATCAGAGGCTATTGGTTTAAACGAGCAAGCAACCAAGAAAAAGACCGAACGTTCAGAAGATCATGAACACAAGAAAGGTTTGCTGGAAACTCCACGAGAGCCTTCTTAACTGCCACAAGGAAAAAGCGACCGTCCGAGCGTAGCGTCAGAGTAGGAAGAGAGCGTTGCAGCTGCTGTGGCGGAGGGTGGCTGTGGTCACCAAGGCAAACGCAAATATGGTTTCGTTGTTCACACGCTCGTCATTTGACATTTCTGCACAAGGGCCACAGGCATCAGACAACAGACGACGAAATGGAGTATGTCGCGTTGAATGATCGTGGCCACGTCACAATAGAGAGTCACCATTTCTGACACGCCATCAATTTGAATACTGAAATGCGCCAAGATTATTAGAGCAAATGCAAAAATCTTCGCGCGGGCGATATGAGACCTTTTCTCCTAATTCCCAGTAAGATTTATTGATGGATGTTTCCAGGCACGTGAACTGCTATCATCATCATTAGTTTCACGAGTGTAGTGAACGTTTTTGTCTGGAGGTGGTCCTCCTTTCCTGGATGGTGGAATACAACACCGACCCGTCCACCCCAATTCCATTTAATGATGCGGTCACTGTGCAGCCCATGACGAAATCTTCCCACTTATTTCATCCGAAAAACGCCAGAATGTTGCCCCAAAAATCCGCTGAATTTTACCTTAATCTCGCAGTTCATTGTTTGAAACATTTGCGAGAAGCGCGCTAAAGATCATCTACATGTATTAGTACTCGTACTTGACTCTCCAGTTAATTTCGAGCGAATGGAACCAACAGAATCAAACGAAACAGAACTTCGATAAACGGTGTTTCAGGCCGCCGTCGGAAGAGACCGTTCGAGTTCAATATGGCAATTTCCATTCCACGTGTTTGAACGAATCGGCCATATCGGACACAAACGTCCAACATCGCCCGACCCAAAATTTCGACCCAAATCGGCCCCACTGTGATCGCCATCTATGTGCCTTTGTTCAAACACAAACGTTCAAGGTTTGTTTGGACACAAACGTCCCACATCGCAGAACGAAATTTCCACCAAAGTCGGCCCCGCTGTGATCGCCGCCGAAATGTCTTTTGTTCAAACACAAACGTCCAAGATTTGTTCCGACACAAATGTCCAACATCGCCCAACCGAAATTTCCACTAAAATCGGCCCCGCTGTGACAGCCACCAAAGTGCATTTGCTTAAATAACAAGCCATCGGAAGCGTGAAAGAGACCTCGGACACTGCTTTCTGTGTCCAGTTGCGGCGAGCCTTCCTTCTCAGCTGGCCATCTTCCGCAAGGGCCACGCGTTCGAGCGCCGCGCGGCGTCGCCGGTGGAGGAGGAGGAGGTGGCCGCGGAGGGCGCGTCGCCGCTGCTGCGCCGGACGGTGCCGGAGGCGACGAGGGTGGAGGCGGTGCCGCGGCGCGCGCGCTCGCCGCTGGGGCCCTCCGCGTAGGTGCGCGTGTCCGTGCGCCGCCAGCCGCGCAGCCGCTTGTGCACGCGGCGCAGCACGTCGCGCTTGCAGCAGAAGATGACGAAGATGAAGACGCCGCGCAGCATGTTGACCGCGTCCGTCACGTACCAGTAGGACAGCTTCTGGTTGAGCGACGCGCACTCCAGCACCCACGTCAGCCCCATCAGCAGGAACAGCTTCAGGTGCAGGATGGTCCTGGAAACAAACAGAGGATTATTAGTCGATTGATGAATCCGGGAGCGTCAACGGCTAAGATCATTAGTCTCATAGGTGTAGTGTACGTTTTATCCAGGCTGTGGCGGTGATCTTCCCGTTAGATGGCGAGATCCGGTGCCGACTTACCATCAGCTAGCGGGGTTTTTCTCAACCATGTGTCACCCACCAGCGGGGCACCGCTCCAGCCGGGACAAGCTCTAAGCTCCCGACCGATCTCGCGGGATGGTATGTCCCCGGGAAGGTAGTGTAGTGAATGTTAGTGTAGTAAGTAAGAAATTATGATGGGACAAAGAAAGGAAAAGAAAGATCGCCCGCGGTGCATGGCCCATTTGTAGTACACTTCCAGCATTCGCCTGATATTGATCATAGAAACACAGAAAACTACGGATCAGAAAAGCCGGCCGCAAAAATTCTCCTCCAGACAGCTGTTTGCTGTGATTTCTCCGCTCTATGTCAGGCGAATCCCAGAGCAGTACCCTAATAAAGGCCCGCGCGCGATCTTTCCCTCCTCTTCCTTGTCTTATTTCATACCTTACGTACACACATTTACACGCTCTACTTTACTACACATGTGGGGAGACCAATCGGGAGCTTAGAGCGTGTCCCGGCCGGAGCGGTGCTCCTTTGATGGGAGATACCTGGTTGGGAAAACCTACAAGCCGACGTCTAGGTCGACGCCGGTTCTCGCCACCCAGCAGAGAAAGATCACCGTCCCCTCCCGCAATAAAAACATGCACTACACTTACGGATTAACGACCTGCTCTGTTAACGCTCCCGGAAACACGAATTAAGTGACGAGGCGTGTCCTTTGCTTACCTCTCCTTGGCGTCGGCGAGCGTGGAGCCTCCGCCCGAGTGGCCGCCGCCCTCCTGGTCCACCAGCGCCGTCTCGCGGCGCGCGCGCACCAGCTGCACCGTGGTGTAGGCGAACAGCGCCAGGTTCACCGCCAGCAGCACCGTCACGGGCCCGTAGAAGTAGGCGAACTGCGCCTCCAGCGCTGCGCACGCACCCACGGGCAACGTTAGTGCTCTACTCACAACTACACATATCGGTTCGGCTGTTTTAGCCTTTGGACTGGGAGACTTGAGGCCATGGTTCCCTGCCTCGCGGCCCTGGGTTAAGGGGATACGTGTGGTTAGCACGTAGATATAACCACGCCATATACCGGTGTTCTCAACCTGAGAAGTGATTTTTCTCATCGTCATACAACAACATATTATACTGGGACATTTCAAAGAAAACGCTCACTATATTCTTGGCTCGACTGGGAATCGACCCCGGGGCCGGTTAATGGAAAACAAGCACGCGTATACAATATATACTGAGTCATTTCAGGTAGCATAAAAGCATCTCATCTATAAGAAAAACAATTGTTTCTTATGTCATTTTGCGGAAAAAATAATCTTTCTTTGCTCCTTGTTTCTTGACGAGTCTTCTGAAACTTTCAGAAAGTTGAGCTTAGAGTGAGTAGAAGCTCTGAAGATAGTTCAGAGTATTGGTGACGAAACATCTACTTATTTCAGCTACAAATGACGAAAAGTGCAAATTTGGTAACGGATTTAGGGTTCGTATTACAACTACTGTATCACGCGCGGCCTCGCAAATGCCCAACATTTAAAGCCGCCATAGCAACCATAACGCCCGCCAGCGGCCCGTCGAGAATTAGAGTGCACTCTCTATCCGCAATTGACGCAAATAGCCTCTCGAGTGTTCAAGAGCGCTTTGAATCTTGGAAATGCGCACGAAGTTCCGGAAACATACAAGCTGCAACGAAATTGGAAAATTACAAAAATCGGTTTATACGAGAAATTTATTGCTAAAGTTACGAGAAACATGTTGGTGTTTTTTTTACCTCATGAAGTGACTCAACGTCTGAATATATAAATGTTGAATAACACAGAGTATTCTTCAAAACGTTTTGTTACTATGAGTGTTATACTTTTAGGGTTCTTTTTAATGACCGCTTTAATGCGACGCACAACCAAGTGGGCGTCGAGACTTCGACCAACGGTCTAGGCAATTACCTTAGAATGACCTTGGTCTGTGTAACGAATATTTCCCAACGCATTCCATGACAAAATATTTCGTTCTTCAACCGCGCAGCCTACGGAATGGATTATTTTGTGTGACTGAGGGGAACGCTCAGGAATAAGTACTTACATCTGCATTGCTCAGCAATTTTCTTTTGTCTAAGAAAAAGGCAAATAATTCAATAGAATGCATGAATAATCGAATTTAGAAAGGAATCCGAAAGTATTCGGTGATGGATTTTAAGATAAACGCTTAGTGTGGTCGGGATATTGCTTCTTAATTGAATGTTAAAATTGAATTTTATTATGGAACTGATTCATTCGTCAGCTAGTAAATATATTCAAATATTTTGTATCCTTGACTAACTACACTCTACATTATGACGTACATAGGATCTCCCCTTTCTCAGTTAATGACTTAAAGTAGTTGTGCAATTTTCGTAGAAACTAATGAAACAGTGTGTTACTTTGTATTGCCTCCACTTTATTACCCTATTTTCTTGGGTTCTTGTTTTGTCCCTACAATACTCCATACAGAGAGGGTCCTTTGACAGGAATTCATATTGATGAAAATAAGCCGAAAATGTCTCGACCTTTTGTTTAATTACGTTGTGATCCAACAAGTAGATGGCCTTCTAAAACATTTCAATTCAGTCACAATTTTACAGCATTTTTAGAAGACTGGGATAATCGAAACATTCTATTGTTTATTTCTAACATTGAAACAATCTAACGATTTGTTAATACACATGTAGCAAAGGAAAGAATTAAGAATAAATCAATGAAACACTAGCACGGGATCTTGTGCTCAAATTCGCATACGAAGACCTTCAGTGGAAAATTAGAGCACGAAAAACTTGTTTAAACAAACAAATCGCCGCTTAAAACTATCATTGACGAAACCGCAGATGTATGGAAAACTACTGTCACGTATTAAATAACTGCGATATAAGAGTCAATACAAATTGTCGCTTTGTACTGTAAAGGTCCCAGTTCTCAGAACTGTGTGACAATGTGAAAGCGCTTTGGGGGAAAAAGTCAAATGATAAAAGGGGTTGCGACCTGCTTTACACAGGTCTCTCAAGCCTTCAGACTGGTAAGCAGTCCCAGGCCCTAGCCCCACGAAGATGTAGTACCAGAAAAATTCATACTTGTAATTTATAATTGTTGATACTTATATAAGACAGAGTATCTTAGCCAAATACCATATAAGACTGATCTCATAGACCACAGAAAGTAAAATAAATTAGTTTTTAGACAGACAGGAGGATAATCCATTCTTTCAGGGCATCTATAGGGTACTCATAGTCTCGTATTCATAGTCAACCTTTATACGATAAGTACATCTTACGTGTTCCTCAGAAATAGGGGTCGACTAGAAATACGCCCTAAAATTTTAATTTTAAGCACTAGTGCAAAAAGTAAGACTATACTTAAGAGTTCAGATAAATCTGTGAATGCTAAAAACAAAACAAAATACTTTGGCCAGACTGTATCAGCTACTCATGATCTTAACATATATTTGTATGCTTGAATTAACCTAAAAGTGAGTTAGGCTGTCCAAAAAATAGTGAATGACACATGTGGTAAAAGTAATTTTATTTTGCTTGAATTACTCCACCCGATCTATCGGTCTCGTGTCGCAACTTTTTCTACTCGTAAAATAAAATGTCCCTCGTATCATGAATAGCTATTTTTCCTTCTGTCAAATTCTACTTCTGCAATGTTCCTCTGAGGAGCGACAAAAAGCAGCAAAGGGAGATCGCTCACAGCCCAAGAAGCAGCTGGTCTTGCCGAGGTCCGGGCGCACGACGTGGTCGGGCAGGCCCTCTGCGAACTCCAGCGCGATGGCGACGGTCGTGATGACGGCGGGGCCGCCCCACGCGTACAGCGAATACCACAGGAACTTGCTCTGCTCCGACGCGCCCCGCATGTTCGCGGGCAGCATTTCGCTGAGGACACACAGCGGCAGATCGTTACACATGTCAAGTTAATATCAGCTTTTACAAGATTGTGTCTTTCGGCACTTTCTGTATGTGTATAAAAGTGAAAGAGACTTCTAGACACGTGCCGAACTCTTGGCGTCACGAATTAATAACATTGAACTAAAACTGTTGTTAGTGAACATAGCCTCGGTGCTTTTAACGGCAATGCCTATAAAATAAAATAAAAAGCTTCAAGAGAGCAGAACTTTGCAACAATGATAGAAAATAGAACTCACCTGAAAGTCCTTGCTATTTCAATGCACACTGCAGTTAGCCAAAAGAATGTTGCCAGCATCCAGTACTCGATAAAGAAACCTATCACATAAAACAAAAGTGTTTTAAATTTGATGAATGAATAACTATGTGATCTATTAGATTCACTTTGTTTTCTACTAAACACATTTATGCTTATTATCAAATATCTACAATATTTTCTCAACGAGTCGTTTAATTCTGTCAAGGAATTTTCATACTGAATCGTGAATTTGTTTATAGGTAATTATATATTTTCTTAAGATCACAATACCTCGAGTGACCTTTTTTTGTGATACATTTTTTGTGTCAGTTACTGACTGAAGACTTTTAAATGTAGAACATACATAGGAGATGTAGCGAGGAGAAAAATCATCGCGTTCGGAAGTTACCTCACCAAGAATAGAGAAGCCCCCTCTCCCCAAAACACAATGTTTCTATCGTCTCCGCCCGACGGACGAGCTTGAGAGTTGAGGGTGACTGCAAGAACTTACTGACTGTACAACGGTCTATTAATGCCAAGCGATTGGCGACTACGCAAGAGACGCAATTGTACTTAAAGCGCATCAACTGACGCCCAAGAGAGACCAAACAGTTGGTTAAAAAAATTGGAGTTGGGGAATTTCTCCGACTTCTCCCGTTGCCACTTTTACTCTACCACATTTCCAACATCATCGTACATTATCACAATTTCGCCTGTCATTCCTGTTCCTTTGAAGTTTCTCTTCTTAGAGGTTTACGAAATGTTATAGCGTAGCGGGTCGACCCGGATAGCCGAGATTGCTAAGGCAGTATTGTCGTAGCGATTTCGCATCGAAGGATCGCGTGAATCCCCTCTCGGGCATGGATGTATTTGTGAACGTCCCTTCACCATCATCATCATCATCATCATCATCGTTCTATCACTTCATTAAATAAGGGTTAATAATTCCCTGCAAGAGCAGGAGGCCCTTGCTCTTAATAGGATGTGCAGTTGGCTAATAATTATTATTATATTAATATATATATAGTAGCGGCGTCGAACGTAACTGCCACCACCGGAGTTCCTCCATTATGTGGTCATAGAATTAATAAACTCACCGAAGACAAACACGAGACATCAGAGCGTTGAACGAAAGTAGGGGGAGTTGTCCAGCGGCAGACGACTTATATTGAGGAGGTGCACCCGTCAAACATGCACTACATTTACGATACTAATGACCTCAGAAGTTGACGCGCCCGACACTAACAATAAATCGACCAATGATCAATCACAATTTTAGTGCAAGCGCAGTGGAAGGGTTTTCCTCCGTGGCTAATGTCTAAACTGTACGCGAAGATTCTGCCCGCACCAGGCGCCGGCCTCACACCTACCGATGAAGTAGCACTCGCCCTTCGTGCGGATGGTGCGCAGCTGTCCCCAGGCGAGCGCCAGCGACCCGGCGAGCAGCGCCGCCACGTGGCAGAGCAGCGCCTTGGCGTGCGCCGAGCGCCGCATCTCGGGCAGCAGCGCGTACACCAGCAGCGTCAGCGCCAGGAAGAAGGCGCCCACGAGGAACAGGCTGCCGTACACGGTGCCGGCCTCCAGCGGCCGCGCGCTCTTGCGCAGGCACGCCAGCGCGTTGGGCGCGCGCGACGCGTTGCCGCCGACGCCCGAGAAGTCGCCGCACCAGCGCTGCGCCGCGAAGGCGCGCCCGCGCCCGAAGCCCTCCAGCACGGCGCTGCCGTTGGCCAGCACGCGCAGCGCCGACGGCGCGTCGCCCGGCCGGGAGTTGAGCAGCACCTGGACGCACACACAGCTCTCAGCCACCGGCGACGCCTTGCTTACACAACTTCGAGAAATAGACTATCCGCGTGCAATTCCCCATTCTCCTTAGACTAGAGCCCATCGCGCCCGATCACCCCCCCTCCCCTATCATCGGGATATACCGGTCTCCCGTTGATAAGCTCTGGAGCAGGGCACGCGAAGGAGGCCTTCCAGCTGCTCAACGCCCGGCCGGGATTTGAGCAGCACCTGGACGCACAGACAGCTCATAGCCACCGGCAACGGTTTGCTTATGCCAGAGCCGCACAACTACGAGAAAGCTGGCCAGACTATCCGCGTGCAATTTCCATTTTCCTTAGACTATAGCCCATCGCGCCCGATGACCTCCCCTCCCCTCGCATTGGAACACACCGCTCTCCCGTTGGTAAGCTCTGGAGCAGAGCACTCGAAGGAGACCATCCAGCTGCTCAACGCCCAATCGAGAGTTGAGCAGAACTTGCCCACACAGGCAGATCTCAGCCACCGGCTCTCCAACTGGCAATCTCTTACACCAGAGCACCTCAAATACGAGAAATATGGCCAGACTGACCATGTACAACACATTTCCCTTAAGGCAGCTTCACACATTCGGCTTCCCCGAGTAGGGAGCTACTGGTCGTCAAATCCCGAGCAGCTGATGTGTTATGCGAACATTCGCTTTCTTTGATGAGTCCAAAAGATCGACACGGCGATGGTTAGGGCGAGCACAGAATGTTAGTCGCTAGTCAAATAGCAAGCGACCCATCCACACTACTCTGGATTCGGCGAGTAGACGCTTGCTACTCGCAGAATACCGAATGTGTGGAGCTGTCGTTACACTAAGCCGACCGCACCTCCCCTCCCCTCGCCTCGGTGACCCGCAGATTAGCTCTGGACCAGAACACGCCAAGAAGGTCGGCCGTATGAATAGCCTTGACTGAAACCGTCCACAACGCGATACTTTCATTCACGCAACTTCTTCCTTTATTCGGCATCTTCTATTTCTATTGTCAGTTTTAACTCAATGAATTTTCGACTTTGCGGACCACTTCGTCATTAAGCATCACAAATCTACTCATGGAGTACTTGTTCAGAATTAAATCTCTCATCTCTCCAATGTTTGAAACAACTTACTATCATAACTATAAACTCTTCTAAATGGCATTCATGCTTAGGCTTAGCGGCTACTCAGGCTCATTAGACAGCTTAGGTGCCCTATATTTTATCTACGGCTCACCCGCTCTAGTATCTTTGAATCTCTTTCTCAGAATCCGACTCCTAAAATTTAATTTTGCAAATTACTTGTTAAACGCTAGAAAGTATAACTCCAACATTCTTCTGACCAAATCCCTCTGCTGCAATTCTTGGCTATGACCTCTCCATTCGTCCAAAATAATTCAGTGAATTAATAATTCAGTAAATAATTCAATTCACACATTCGGAGGATTGAGGGGTATTTTTCAGTTAAGATGAAAAATTAAAAATGGCCAACAAATACAAACTTCTAAATGTTCCTTATCTTGAAACAATGCGTTTAACTGAATAATCGAAGAGCTTACCCCAACATACTCGTAAATAAATACAAACTTCAGTAATTCAAATTCATCAGAAGAAAAATGTTTAGGGAACTTATTGACTAATATTTGAAGTCGCATAGTACCTTCTCTTCGTCGTCAGTGCACGACGGTATGACAGGATGCAGCACAACATGTTGAACATTCACTGTGTCGTTGCTGTCATTTGAAGAGAGGAACTTTGGCTTCCATCTCTCAGTCGACGAAACGCAGTTGAAGCTGTTATGCTTCCGGAAGACGCTGACGGACAGCTCTTGTTTCAAGGGACAGCACTTGTTGACGCAGACGGTCTTGTTGCAGGGGCACGTGTAAAAGACGTGCATGTCGCCCGCCATGTCAATGCGATCAACGCAGTAGAGGTCTGGCGGCAGCGGGAGGTTGGGAGTGGCGGTCGAGGGGAGGTCGTCCGTGCGCAGCAGAAGGGTGCCGTTGCTGAGCAGGCGGTAGCGCGAGAAGCTGTTCCACGTGAAGTACTTGTAGGCGCTGCGCGCGCAGGGCGGGTCGGGGCCGTAGCGCAGCACGGCGTCTGGCGGCTGCGCGCGCAGCAGCGGGCGGGCGGTGGCGTTGCCGGTCTGTGCGTCGTAGAGGGGCGTGGCGGCGTGGAGCCACCAGGGGAAGCCGTCGCCCGCGCGGCGCCGCACCGCCCCCGCGCCCTCCCACGCCGCCTGCGTCTCGCCCACCGCGCCCTCGTACGCCACGCACGCGTCCATCGCCGCGCTCAGCTGCTCGCGCGCGCCGCAGCACTTGCGCAGCAGCGTCGGGCCCGGCGCAGCGGGAGGCGCCTCGTCGCCCGCGAGCTCCTCCGCCGCCCCGAAGGCTGCGCGCAGGAGGAGCAACAGCAGCGCAGCGGCCGGCGCACGCGACATGATCCAAGTGTTCACGCCACAACCTGCAACAATCGATCCGTTAGCAAAGGGGTTTAAGGCACTCTTTTTTGTTGACGATGTGCTCTTTGTTTAGCACATACGTTTTCAGAGCTTTTCGCATATCTGTAGCCAACTAAAATATCGTGATTATTGATTTATTGTTCTAATAATATTTTTGACAACTTGACAGCTACCGGGTATCTGGGGAGAGGAAGTCCAGCTACCAAATCAGAGGCTTCAAATTATGCTGAGCTGCAGAGTTGCCGATATTTATTACGAAAAAAAGTATATCCATCAGTGCGAAGCAATTAAAAATTGAAGAGCCATTACTACTTTGGTTATGCATTCTTATCTTGTGTGCTCGTATTGCGATTTTTTTCTTGCTATTGTTGTGATCTCATGCCAGAACGACCACGTATCTGCCGCCCGAGTAAGTGGCAACATCGCTCTAAATCCCACTCCCGCCGTGAAGTAGACGAAAATACTATTCATACAATAGTGAAGAAAAGTTTGAAAAGAAGTCCGTTTTACTAGTAAAAAGTTCATAAGCTAGGTGTAATACAGAAAAAATCACTGCCCTTGGCCCTGAAACATATGGCTCCGCTAAGAGGTTCTCCCACAGTATACGTATTACTGTGGTTCTCCCCCAAAACAATAACGACAATGAGATGCTTCTAAGCGTAACCCATTCAAACTTTGCCATTCCAACCACGCGTTTAAACAATAAGCATGTATATATAAGTATGTATCGAAAGAAATGATATTTCAGATTATTTCTCCATTTATTTCTGTTGATAGAATGGAGCTAATGATTCTATGCCTTCAAATATGAGAAAAATGAATAATAAGTTTTCCTTTATATCAAAGAGTGAAACAAAATAGCTCAAAACCATTTCTTTCTGAAAACAAATTGAAAACTCACAGACTACACGCCGAAATGAATGCCACTTTTATGTCTAAATAGTGCAAACGAATTTATATGCTGCATGTGGCAAGTGTATTGCATTTATTTGATGTGTTTTAACTCCAACGCGCGAAGGTCATCATTTCATAATTTGAGATAGCGCTCAAATACGAATAGCAGAGAGCAGATGTCCACACAAATGTAATACATAAAATTAAATATAGCAATTACTCACAGTTTCATCGTTTCATTTTGCAAATAAAGCAATCACGGCGATAAATAACTTATTCACACGACAGTAGTGGTTTGCATTCGGTAGTTCTCAAATAATTTCGTGTATGTATATTTCGTAATACTTGTTGCAAAAAAATTGTCTAGTATGACATGTATCTTAAGCACAGGACTGCGTATAACTAGATACATTAATTTCTTTGAATAAACACTGAGTTTCATCCACCTAAACTAGACAAGAAGAAACTGATCTCAAGCAGCTTGCTTTGCGCAGTTTATTTTGGATTGTAATGCCACACCATATTTATTTCCATTCCATTTCAATCATTACGCAACCACAAAAGCAACTCTTGAACTCTCTCTAATACAGTAGCTATTAAAAAAGAAAAATGTGTAAGGAAGTCTATTACATTAATAATTAAATTAAATTTGGTGTAATTTAAAAAAATAACACTAAAATGTTTTTTTCTATTATTGCGAATTAAGGTTTGTTCGTTTGTTGTGGATATAGTTTCTTTCTTCCGACTTTTTCAGGTGCATTTAGAGCACCAACTTGCTGCCCATAAAAAAGTAATGAACCAGGAAGTCGTGGTTCAACTAAATTGGATGTGACTATGATTTATGAGAATTGTTAATTAATTTCGACGTTAACGTTCTTCGTTTTTAATCGTGATTTTTACAAAATTTTTAAGTTGAGTTTATCAGTGTCTGAATTAATAATACACAAATGAACTTTTTAACTAACCAGATACACTCTCAGAACGCAGAGTTGCATCGTATTAATATATTTTTAATAATATATTTCCACATATAATTTTAATACAAATATTTCGCCACCCTTATTTTTCTTCAGTTAGAACGTTCCATTTGGCTAATACTACGATCTCTTCACAATTTTAGTTGAAGAAGCTGGATAATCTTTGTGTGGTCGCAGAAAATGAACGTGACGCATTGCGGAACGGATGTGGGATGAAGATAACTGATGCTTGTGACGTAGCTTGCCAACTTCCCAGTGCACCGAACAAAAGCACAACCTCGTTTTTTGTCATATCTTCTAGTCAATTAACTTTGTGGCCAAAATTGTAAAAAGATGCGCCATTAAGTAAAAAAAATATTCTTAATAACTGTCCGGGAGACGCCGCGTCCTCGACACAGGTGTCAGCATTTCGGCCATTCCGGATCCTTCCTCAGGGCAAAATACGATGAGAACGTCCGGGCATTTCCCCTCTTGGGAAGGTCGCAATATGGTGGCCGAAATGTTGACACCTGGGCCTAGGACGCGTTTCTGACAACGGGCACGGAAGTCTACGCTCTCAAAAAACACGCGAATTTGAGAGACTACGTCCAGGAAACAGGTTTGCTATAACGAGTATAATCATAGTGCCATTCATGTTGAAAGCATCCTACAGTAATGGTGTGTGCACTCAGGACTCGCTATTCTGAAGATTCACGAGTTACGCAGTGTTGTTGGCAGCAATGCGCAAAGAACATCCCATGTAGTTCAACTTCATCGCATCGTTGCAAGAGTCATGTAGACCAAAGTCACACTGCGCTTCGCCTTTACAAGCGGGGTAACTCCTCACTTTTTCTCGTACATCAATATTGAGAACATTCTCCGAGGAAGAGAAGTGAATGTAGCATAGATCGAGTTATAAACGATTAAAATGAATATTATTTTCTTCTCTTGGTCAACTCCATCTTATATGTTTAAGAAGAATATTGAAATGTCAATAACTATTATTACGGTTAAAAGTTTAAAAGGTTAGTATTTATTTACATCTTATTTAATAATAAAATTGAATTTTATTCTTCGTCTATAGCAATTCCTTGCGTCCCTGGAAATGTATCGTTAATTTTGAGAAATTGGAGCAGAATAAAAAGATACGCAGATTGTTACATTATGGCTTACCACTTACATAATATAGTAATGTTGCGGCAAACAACCACGATTTTCCGGAACAAGGAAAGAATTGCTTTACCACAAAACGTTTGACCGTTAATAGAGGGAGTTTGCACTTACTCGAAATGGCTAACATTTAACGGTTATAAATAAC